TAAATGTATATAATATTGCTCTCCTGTCATCCTGTGCCATGCTATTGCAGGTTGCTGAAGGTGAATGCCCTCTGAATCCAGCCAAAGGGTACTCTGTGTGTGTGTGTGTGTGTTGGTGTGTGTGTGTGTAACAGTGTTATTAAATACAAATTTTATCTAAGCATGTGTTATAATTGGTAATTTTCTGTCATTGCTACTCTCAGAGAGGAAATACACACTTACAAGGCAGTTGATCCAATAGTCCGTCTACTTCTTTTAAAAGCACTTTGTGAAATTCGAGCCGATGTATTCCACTCTTCCTTTTTCTTCTTCTATGTGACATTATTGAACACAGAATCGCTAGTGATTTATTTTTTGTTCATTTGTGCTTTGCTGCTCATAAATTATTTTCCTTCAGCAAGATGATATTTTGGCCCATGTTAATGATTCATTAAAAAATGGAACTGCTCTATCTACTTTTCGGAAGGATAAGTTCGGAGGAGATGGATGTGGAATCTCATACTGGTAACATTCAATTTACTCATAATTTGAAGATCCATGTGTTCAAAGTTGATGACTATTCTTTTTTGTGTACCAGGTATGATGGGAATGAAACTATTGGCCATAGATTGTATAAGGAGATTCTCAAAGTTGAGTGTAAACCAAAAGTTAAGGGGATGGGCAACATGCTTGCAGTCAATTCTCAATGGGAGACACTTGCAACTAATCTTGAAGAATTCCGTGCCTTTGCGGTAACAATGCATTTGATGTTATCTAAACAATAATAACGGTTCAACATCTTTTATGTTTATTGTCATCATTGTCAGGATAAGGTCTCATTCGGTGAAGCTAAATGGGAATCTTCTGTGTGCAAGGCTGTTCAAGATGACATCATTCCTTCACTTGAGAAAATACAGAAGGTCAAATACTACAAGTGATTCAATTGCAGACACATCTGTACATAGTCTTGTCTCATAAAGTGCAGGGAGTGTAGTATGTAATGTCTTAGACCATACATGACATCAACAGTCCTTTTTTTAACAGAAAAAAGAAAGGGTTCTGAAACGACAACGGAGGCAAGATATGATTCCAAATGGTTTTGTAAAGTCAGCTTTTACTCGTTCCTGTCGAAATCGTGGACCTGTCAATTATAGATTTGGTATGCATCTCTTTTAAACGCAAAACATTTACAGTGCTTTTGAAGTTTCAATTTCTCACAAGAGGAACATTAAAAGGTCTAATTGTGGGATCCACACGCTTTTCTTACACTAGTAAGTGAGAACGTGTTTTTCAAAGCATGCTTATAAATAGTTTTTGTCATTTAGTAAGCTCTAGGGACGATAATTATTCTCTTTGATGATAAAAATTTCGAGTGACCAAGAGCTTGTGTAAGTTCAGATTTTTCTGAAATGGATCTTAACATATTCTCTTTGCAGCAATAATTTTTTTCTTCTATCTGTAAATCTATGCAGATGATTATGATAAAGCTATTAGGGAGGCCATACAAGTAACGAAGTAAGTTTTGGCAATTGATCTTGTTTGTGTGCAATATGGATCTGTGCCAAAATTTAAGGCTTTTAATATCTATCTTATGTTCATTTTTTCTCAACATTTGGTTCCAATTTTCATTTCTAGTAAGAATACTGAATCATAATTGATTCCATCTGGTTCTTGATGGACTTCTTTATTCGTATATGTATGTATGGTCTGAATATTTGCTTCAGCAATAAAAAGACCACCAAAGAGCAACGCTATGGAAAGCGATATAGTGAGCATAGTACTATCAATGGATCTGTGAATGAGATAGCATCAGCATCTTGTTCAAGTGAAGATGAACCAGCGAAAAGTGACACCGAGAAAGACCAGGACCAGGGAAGTGATTTTGCTGACTGCACCAGTGACGAGCATGATGGGGAAAAGGTTGCCGATCCTAGAAAAGATGCCAATATTGCTAAACACTTGAAGGGAGATAACAATTCAACCTTACATTCCCAGGCACAGGAAAGTATGTTGGACTTGGACCACAGGGATAAGGATCCTCACTGCAATAGACTGGCTGAAAATGAAGGATATACTACTAACTGTAGAGCTAGTCTTAGCACAAAGGATAGGTTGATGGAGAGCACCATCCTTACTGCTACTGAGGATGAGGTAGTTCCTGATTCAGAAGATGAAATGCTGCTGAATCTCTGATGGTTTTTGAACATTATATATATATATATATATATATATATATATATATATATATATATATATATATTTAAATCATCTGCTGTTGGCATATCATCTCTTGGTATATACCTTCTTCTTTTCCCAGGAGCTCTACCAGTAGCCGGTGCAGAAGACGAGAGGTTCTAACAGAATGAGTTGAACGTAGTTAGACGAATAGTGAAACTCATTTGGGCTATGCCAATCTCTTCCCCTATACTATCGATCAGGCTCCCGGGGGCTTGTCGTTTTCGTTTAGATAGTTCTCTTTCAATTGCGCGTCAGATGGATTGCTTCCCCACCGTCGGCAGGTCCCGGCTCATATATATATATATATATATATATATATATATATATATATATATATATATATAAAATACTATTTCCAAATCATAAGAGGGAAATGACTTCATCAATGGCATAGCCATATTAAGAGTATTTGTAAGGCCATTCAAGTCAAGGTTGTTTTTTTGTACGAGCTCTAATGGCCTGATGTTTTTGTAAATGAAATTGCACATTTGGTGGGAAAAGGTCATCGAAGTCTTCTTTTTGTGCTTACTAAATATGCATCTTCCTTCTCTTTTGGTTTCTTTTGCCCTTTATATGAACACGTGTTACCAAAACCCCGAGGAGTAGAGATTGTTTTCGGGAACACGGCTGACAAGTGCAAAGTAGAGCTGTTTGTTTCACAGAGTTGTAAAAATTAACTATTTTCTTTTCTAGCATTGCCCTTTTCTTTTCATTCCATTGAGTTGTTTTCAAACTCTTTCTTGTTTCTCTCCACTTTTTCTAGTTTCAAATTTTCATGTTTTTTTATGTGAAATTTATAGTAACTAAGATTAAAACATAAGTCATTTCCCAATGTAGAATTTAAACTTTTTTATTTCCTAAATAATACTTAATAATGATAGTGGGAGAAATAATGTCCAGTGATGGTGGACATTTACTTGAATAATGACTAATGGATAATGACCAATGATCTTACATTGGAAAATAAAAACATATGGTCTTATATTGAAAAAATCATTATGTTTTAGTCCTGTTTAGCTAAATTTTCCTTCTTTTATTTCCTTCCAATAGCATTCAATTTCTTCCAATAATATCTTTAAAAATTATTATTATTATGCGGAATTAAAAACCATCATCATCATCATAGACGTGTTCGCAACGCCCAACGACACGAGAATTTTAATAGACCTAATATCATTGAACGAGCGTGCACTCCACACTGCCAACCTTGTTAACGTCTATTAAAGCATATGCAGTTACACAAAATAGTCAATGACACTAAATACCAACAATTTGTTATGGTTGAAATATTATGTGGTTTTTTCACTCTCTAAAATTGATGTGAATTTTTAAAGAAAAAATTGCTCTCTTCTTGATTTAAAAAAATGATGCGATTTGAAGTACCTGCAATTTTTAATTTAAAAAAAACTTTCTGCGAACTTTTTTTATTTAGATTTCTAAATTCTTTCAAATTTTGGAACTCATATCTTATCTTCATCAAGCTCACCAAATAAACCATAATAGTTATATGAATACACAATCTTTATAGTTTTGTATCAAAGCATCTCCAACCCTACTAAAATGACTTGCTATATGTTATAATTTGACAAGCCAAGTAAAATTTGATGTTTCAAGGGTTTGCTTACTTTTGACAACTTTGCTAAAAATGAAAATGACTTGCTTGCTTACTAATAACAAGGTTGGGAAAATACAACAAGCCAAAAAGAAGAGAAAAATGTTGATTTTAGTTTTTTTTCATGTGCCAAAATGCATTTTTTTCACATTCAATGCCACAAGGAAAGAAGAAAAATAAAATATTATTTTAATTTTTTACAAACAACAAAATGTTTTATACAAAAAAAATATTTTAAATGGTGTACAATAATAGTGAAATTAATATATGTTAGCTACATTATAGTAAAAGAAGGTTGGAGATGACAATGCAAAATGACTTGCTATACTGCTATTCATGTACTGATAAATGATTTTAGCAAGTCATGTTTACCAAGTGTGGTTGTAGATGTTCTATGTAGGTTAGTACTTTTTGTACTTTAAAAAGTTGTGATATAGTCTCTTTGGTTAAAGAACTACTACATAATTAGTCCTTTATTTAGAAGAAAACTTGAAGTACGTATAACATGTCCATGCTATGCGTAACTGTGAAATAGCTAACAAAATAAGAAAAACTAATTTATCTCAAACATTGTACTACTACATGTTATCTCAAACATCCTCATCTTCGTGATTAAAAACATGGAAGGGTATTTTTTCACGTCTTAAACCATACGACATCATCCTAAAATAAAATTACTTAAAGAAGAATATAATGACGAATTTATCTCAAACATTGTACTACTATTCAAACCGATCATTATTGAAAATATGGAGAAATGATTCTGAGAGTTGAACAAAAAAAATAGAAAACATGAAGCTTAAACATTACTCCCTCCGTCCCATTTTAAATTGCCTGTTTGCCTTTTTTCTCCGTCCCAAAATAAGTTGTCTGTTTGTTGTTTTCGTAAACTTTTAAAAATAAAATACCTAAACTACCTCTAAAATAAGTCACTCTTCTTCACCTTATCTTTTCATTCATCATCACCCCTTCTAAAAAGTAATGACAATATCGGAAAATCAACTCTATTTTTTATTTTCCTTAAATATGCCTAAAAATCAAAACAGACGATTTAAATTGGAGTACATTTAAAAGCCCCATATCAGTTTTTTTAAATATAGTCCGTATGTTGTGCAATTTTGGCATAATATAATGCTGTAATAATACGCCTTTTGGCTTACGATTGGGACAGATTTGGCATCTAATCTTAATGTGTGCCCTCACGGCTTGAATTTTTCTCTCTCGATTTGGTTAGCACCCGGCGGGTTTCTCAAGATATGCCTGGATTTTGTGTTATTGCACTGCCCGTTTATGATTATCGAAGGCATTCCGATTTTGGGGGGCGTAAGCGAATGATCTAGGATTGATCAATCTCTTTGCCTGTTTATTTATGTCTGTTTTTAATAAGAACAGATCAGGCTGTAGGGAACATCATCGTAAGTCGAGTACAGGTGTCGGAACAATTTTAGACGGCGGCGGCGGTGGCAAGGATGAGGCGGCCGGCGGTAGGGAAGGGGGAATCAATACCGATGAGAGAATAGAGGGAGGTGATAATAGGAAGGGGAATGGGAAAAGTGTTTCCCTTCTCCGGCTAAGAAAGTTGAAGAAGAGTGTGCAGCGGAATAAGGAGAGGAACAGTGCTGTTGTTCCGAGGTCCTTTGGGACAGTGGCCTCTAGGAGCAGTGGTGGGAGTTGTTGCTTGTGCTTAAGGTTTCGGCGGCCTGCGGATTTGTCAAGTGATTCACAGTCAAGTGACCCTAATAGCCCGGATTTTAGTCACGAGCTGCTGAGTTCCTTGATTGAGAAGAATGATTTTTATTCCAAAGAATGCAACCCGCATTTGGATGTTCAATTTCCCCCCTCATGAAAGTATATAGACAGGTGAGATTTGTGATGCATTGGTGTTGAATTATAAACTCAAATATGAAGCTGTGGTTTGGATTCTGCAACAATGTTTATGAAGTAATGGTATGGTAGGGTCATAACATCTCCACCTTAAGATTCACTTTGAAATGAATGAAAGCTCGGAAACATAACGATTTTTGGCCATTTTGGGTGTTTCTTGAGACATGGGAATTTTCTGCATTGTTTTGCTCAACAAGGTCTAAGGGACTGACTGCAGTTATTATCGTTGCATACTTGGACTGTTCATGATCTGTCAACTTGACCCACGCCGTGTATCAAAATTTCATATTTTTGGAACTTATTATTGATTTGGTTTTGGTTGTTGTTGTTGTATTCATTAGCGTGGGAATGTATTTTAGAGTCTAGTGATGTTATTGCTCCGGATTCTTTTGCCAGTAGCCACAGCCATGACAGGGGATTGTGGTAAGGTTGTTGTACTTCTCAAGGAGTGTGTAAACTGTGAACTTCGATCTTGTTTTCCGAAAACTGGAAAAGGTAGGGAGGAAAATAGAAAGTTCATATTTTGGAGAATTTCTGGTTGGTTTGGTCCTCGGGACATTAATCATAACGTAAGGGTTTCCAGAGAGCAATTGGAACAGATTTTCTCATAGAGATGCATGGATGCTTGTGTGCTTTTCAGTGTGCCCCAAATATTTCTGCAGTTTCTGTATTACATCTTGGAAAGGAACTGAGGTAAGTAAATATACTCTCTGATACTTTTGCGTTCTATTCGGTATACCTTGTTTATCTCTACAATTAAGAACTGAGATCATTCGTCATTGCGAATTTGAGACTTCTTGATTGTTGTGATTCCGATCGTTGCTTTGGTTTTTTTATCAGTACATTTTACAATGTATAGTATAGATTATGCAATGTATTTGAATTTTGGATTGTAAATGTACAAAAGGAGACATTGAGCTTGGTGCACTCAGTGGCATACATTTTTTGTCATTTGGAGGTTTTCTTCCCTTAGGCTTCCTTTGGAAAAGGGGAGAAATCACTTCGGGAAAATAAATTATTTTTCTGAAGTCATTTTCTTTTTCCCGTGTGTATTCGGAAGCTTGAAATTTGTCTCTTTTTTTTGTGTCTAGAAAAAGAATACCCGGAAAATGAGTATATCTAATAAAACGAGGGATGACACAAAACTATTTTAGTAATAATTTGTAAAATTGAAGAAAGTTTGGTCATTGAAAAATGACATTTAAAGGACACTTTTGACATGTAAAATTGAAGAAAGTTTAGTCAATATTATTATGTTTCTACAATTGTGTAGCATAAATGTTACCCATCACATACGGAGTACTCCGTATTACTTAGCCTGCATTAGTTCTGGGTTTTCTTAATATTGACTCATCCCATTTTGTACTCTTTTCAAATCAAAGGTTAAACTTTTTGATCTATCATGGGGGTGTTAATTTGAAAGCTAAAAATATAATTTCACACTGATCATTTATCTTTTTTGTAATATACAATTCCAAAGGTCGCTTGTGATGCGTCATTTGTGAATTGCAGTCGCTATCTACGACAAGCATAGTCTATATGAGTGGTCTTTCATCAGGATTCTAGTTGACAATCATAGTCATTATTATTGCATTATTTGTCTAAGAGACATCAGAATACGTCAGTGAATATAGAATTGATGTAAAATTACATCTTTAATCATCAAATTAATACTAACATGACAGAAAATCAAAAAAGATTATTTGTGAAAAATTACATATAAAAAGACTAGGAGGGTAATATTTGATTAATAGAAGACTAAATATGAAAAATCACCTATTATAAATTACTACTAATTAAGGAATTTACTCTTTATTGTATGATATGATACGGAGTGCACTTTTTGCAACATAAATAAAGAATGGGAGCATAACTTTTGTAAAATAAATAAAGAATTTGTCCACACATGGGCTAAGAATAATTTGGTAACCGCAAACGGTACACACAACAAGGACTGTTACATTACAAGTCTGTGTTTCAAAACTTCTGTTAAAAAAACATCACTGAACTTGTTACATACACAGGTATACAACAGGATATATAGGCACACAGACGCATCCAATATGGAATTGATCGTATATACTACTCCGTATATAGCCTTGGTCCAAATGTAATGGAGTTATAATTCAGCGTCAATCGCACAAGGAAAAAGATGGGTATGTAGTCACATGAAAACAGAAATCGGGCAAACCCAAGGGTGTTTAAGGTCTCCAAGGTGCTGGCGGAGGCGGCGGGGTGGGGAACATAGGAGGCACTGCAGAAAACATTGTGTTTTTGTCGATTCCAGTACTTCTCCCACCGGATAAAGCTACAAGAGCAGCCACCAAACCAGCATTGCCTGCTAGCGTGGGCTCCGTGTAGTTGTAATTGGTGCGAACATCCTGGAAACCATCATGCTTGTCTGGACCAGCAACCATGGCACCAACGATGGTGTTAGGATTCGGTTTCTTTGAATTCCTCCATTTCCACCCTCCTTTGCAATTGTATTTGATCTTGTTCTTGGGGATTGATGCACCGCGATGGTGAACATGTTTTGGATAGTGGTTGCCAAAGCCAACAACATAGCTCATCTTTCTCGGGTTTTTCCCAAGTATGTATTCAATCTGAGGAGTCCGTCAGTCAACAGTCAAGTTTGAGCCACACAATACACAAATTTTATAATGTCCAAACTGGTGTGTGATATGTACTTTACTATTATTATTGTTATTATTATTATCATTGTAATTTCTTTTTTTTTTTTCAAAAGACCCAATTCTTTTATGATATCAATGCACTAAAGTAAGAATTTGCCTTCAAAAAACATCAATCTTGGAGCTCAAAGTACATCATTACCTGTGTTGCAGCAAAGTTACGCAGGACATCAGTAGAATAGAAGTTGGGTCCACAGTACCATCCAGGAGTGTCAGCAGCATCAAGGTAGTCGGCAAACAACGTAGCCAAAAATGCCGCATTTACTACATACTGAAGAGGCTGAGGAGCCCCATAGTTTAGTTGTATCAAGCCACCTGCAATGCCCCGTAGATTTTAAACTCCAAAATCGGTGCGGGTATAATCCACAAACTTCAAACTAAGTACACACATTAGAGGGACATACCTTTTGTTCTGTTAAAAGAGTTAAAATATGGCAAATAGGAGCACATGACTATGCTTGTCTGGTTGTGGAATGTCATCAGAATCTCTTCATAAGGATATCCAGGACTCAAAAATAACCTCATGCGACTCAGGAGGACCTACGCAAAAAAACAGTAAACATAACTTTAATCATTACGAGGGAACAGAAAGGGAAAACAATGAAGACTAATCTAGCTACTTACTTGAGCTCCAGGAAGCTTGCTATCCCAGCTCATCACACCATAATACTTTCCTCCCCAAAAGGCACCAGCGTGCTTAGCTAGACGTGAATTTGTTGCAAGGTTAAGATAGGAATTATTCCCAGTAGCGTAATATAGCCATGTTGCACCCCATATAAATTCATCCCAGTAGCCGGTGGAATTGTAGAAAATTTGCGCTTCATTATTAGCACTGTACCTTCCGCGTTGGTCCCTAGAAAACTTGTAGAGAGTCCGAGCACCATGGACAAGTTTTTGTGAGTAGGCTCTGTTGTCCTTGAATACAATGGAGGCAGATGCAAGTGCAGCAGCCATATCCGCAGCAAGATCGGAGCAACTGTGGCATTCATACACAGGACGATCATAGTCAATGTCTTCTGGGCGCATCCAACAATAATGGTCATTCGGTGTTGTACTTCCATGTGAAGTGTCCCCAACTCCAACCTAACAAATAAATGTAGAATTTATTTGGTGAGATATAAAGAGTACTCTAGAAGTGTTCAGACCAATCGGACCAGAGTGTCACTGAATGTAGTCATCAAGCATGTTATGGAAAATAGAGTTTAGAAAACTGATACCTTTGCTAAGCCTTTATTAACCCATACAAAGCAAAATTAAAATGTACTCCACATTTTACTTAAACTCTAGTATATTTTATACATCATAAGATAGTTCGAACCTATATATTGAACAATGAAAAAGTGGTGTAATTTCACACAAAAGAATTACTCCCCCCCCCAAATTTTATCTTCCCCCTTTCCCTTTCATTCTCTAATTAATTTCCTTTTGAGAAAAATTTATGTGGTTGACACTAAAGATTTGTAAAAGAGTTTTTTAATCATAGGTTTTATTCATAATTATGTATATTATAATTTCAAATGGTTGAGAAAGGTAAGAGTTACAAAAGAAGAAGTGAATTGTGGAAATAAAAACTTTACCACTAACATGCTATTGATGAATAGTATAGCACCATATTTAGTGCATTACCATTCATTTGCACGAAAAAGTTCTTTTTTGGTGTCTATGTTAGAGAAATTCTATAGCAAACTTTATCATCATGTTTGTGCTAGGTTGGAGATGCCCTAAGTTCAAGCTAAGGAATAATATTTATAAAAGAAGAATGAATGAAGATGATATCAGCAACTAATGTCCAACAATGATATACTCACTGCGTTCCACGAACATTTTCCCACTCTCGTTTTTGATCCATACCAAAATAATTTTCTCAGATTTTGCCCTTTGTTTTAAAGGAAAAGAGTGTGGCTCAAAATATTTCTCTCTTCTATATTAATTCTAAACACACACTTACTTTTAAATAGTTTTCTCAATCTCCGTGTAGTCAAAGTCAAAAATTTTTGGTGCAGCAAAATTGGAATAATAATATTTTAAAATAAATTAAAGAAACAACTAATAACGGTATTTACCTGAGCTGCGATCCGATCAATAGTATCGGCCGAAGAATTGAAGGTTTTGAGGAGGTAATCGGTCCCCCACTTAATGATTTCTTTAACATGGTTCAGCTCGCCAGCAGCTTCGTATTTTGCTTTGTATTCAATTACACTCCAACTCAACATGGTCATGGCAAAAGATTGAGGGAATTGAAACTTGATTGCATCCCCAGCATCATAGTAGCCACCAACCAAATCCTTAAACATTGTTGAATGATCTGACTTGCCATCTTGCAAACATGAATTGCCCCTCCACGATACGTTGTTGTGCTTGGGTAGTTTTCCAGCTGAAACAAGTCATACCATATAGTGAAGATCTAATAAATTGGGTAAAACAAAAAATAAAATATATGGCCAGAGAAGTAAATCTGATTCGTAATCCCCATAAATGCGACTTCCATCTGGAGAAACAATTGATCAAGCTTAAGCTTATCAAAACTAGACACTATTGAAATAATCCTAAAAGCAAGCAGGTACAAATAGATCTTTAGAAAATGGTATGTACAAAACTATTGAGATCTGGAGAGGGTGGCCTGGATATATATTATAAGCAGATTGAAGTTACCGGGCCACCGGAAAAGAATGCCTTGTCCTGGAGATCGACTTGCAATTTTCAATTAAAAACCAAATTAAGGAGACTTCTTAAAATGGAAACAAACTAATATGGCAAAAAAAAAAACATCAATTTATATCAGTAGCTAACACAGTGAGTGCATCTATAGAGATATTTATCTGTATATAGAGACAAAATTGAATTGTTGAGAAAATTGGATGAGATAAACCAAAGATTTAATGAGATCTTCACATCTTTCATTTCACAGAATAGAATCTAATCCACAAAAGGGAAGAAAAAAAAGACTTACAGCGCTGGGCGTTGAAGAAGATGAGGGCCTTGTGGAGAGCGAGGGTGTAGTTATCGGGAGGGGGGTTGTGGGGGTGGTGGCGGGGCACAAGCTTGACAATCAGGATGACGAAGGCGGCCAAGAGGGCGGCGGCAAGGATGCACCCCACCGTCCACTTGAACAGCTTCCGGCTGACGATTATGCACCCCAAATCGAC